CCCTATGAGATATGCGGCAAAAATACAAGGTTTCAAAAAGTTTATTTTTTAATATAAAAAATAAATATTTCGGATTTCTAATATTTTTTTCATAGTAGTAGACAGTACAAAGTTTTTACTGATATAGTTCGTTTATTATATACATAGTAAATAATACTTAATAAATTAAGTTTTTGATAGGTGCGGCGGAGTTCAATGTAATAAGGTTCAATAAATTAAAAAAGAAACGAGAAAGAAAAGAACGAATTATTTTTCTTTTATTTCTTCTATTTAAAACTGTTATTTCACAGTCCTAACTAATTATATGTTAACATTGATAATGATCCGATAAGGATCGAAACGTTTGTTTTTGTTTATAGCTGGCACATGTTTTATTAAAGTTTAGATTTTAACTAAATTATATATGTTTTATTTACTAACTTTTTAAATTATAACGATAGACTTTTGACTCGTAGCCCTTTCCTTTCTTGTTCTTTTTTTATAAAATCAAAATTTAAATACTAATCGGGCTCTCGAAATTAAAAAACAATAATATAATATACGGACAATAAGAGCGTTAACACAGCGCGGGAATTGGTGCGCAATTTATATAATAGTCAAATAATATTCACATAATATATTAAAATTGTACAATGACTGTCGATACAAACTTATTTGAACGTTTCGATTTTTTTCAAACAATCTTCAGCAAATTTGTAAATCATTATAATAGATGTCTTGACAAAATAGTTGGAAAATGTTGAAATTATGCTCTATGTGAGACCGAGGATGAGTATCTCCCTACTATCTGATTGGGAATTGCCCAATTTTTGTCTCTTCGCTATTTAGAAAATTATAATATTGATACAATATTATAATTTTATTATTCTTAGGCCCTGTGCACAATGGAGGAAATATTAGGAACAGGAATAGATATTAAGATTTCAACCTATCAGAAACCGTGTATTCCGGTGTAACTGGTATCTGATAGGTTAAAATCTTAATATCTATTCCTGTTCCTAATATTTCCTCTATTGTGCGCAGGGCCTTAGTGTTTACTAAGATACGTCAATGTACAAATCATGCAAATATATAAAAACATATACCTGTAACTATAATATGTTTCGAAATATCTTTATTGACGCTGACTTTTAACTTTACGTGAGTTTGATAAGATCAATATTTCTTATTCATATACAATATGTATAACATATAATTTTCATGTATAATGAAACACTTTGATAATAAGTTCTCAGGGTAACTTTGATCAAACTCCAATTAATTTAGTCTGCAATTAACTTATCAAGCAATACCTACACGATTTTATTAATATAGGTAGAATAACTAATATTTCATTATTTAACGCACGAAAAAAAAGATCGAAATTAGGAACGACAAATTAAATTAGAAATTTTGCAATAGGCAATTATTATCAGTTTAATTAATTGAATTAATTAGAAGTTTAGCTGAAATGTCACTCTTATTATGTCCATTTTTACAAATATATTGTAGATTAATCAAGATTTTTCTAATTCTTAGGAAAAGTAGAATATTAAACCGAGATTATAAAGTTGGTCTAAGTTTGGTCGCTCTATTTGTAAAAATAGAGCGATACTTAATCAAACTTTCAAAACTCTATTTTTTTTTAATTTTTGAAACCAGAAAAAGATAAAGAATACTTAAATCGAGATGTTAATCAATTAATTTGTGTTGAAGAGCGAGCGATATACTTTAATCAAACTGTGATTAACTTAATTAGTCGATAGCTATTAATTCGTTTCTCTAATTTACACTTCGATGTATTAAACAAAAGATTTTTAATTAATTATATTAACTGTATTAATAAAATAAAATTAGTAAGTACAGATATCATTTGCTAAGTTAATAATCATCGATTAAATTAAACAGTAGATCGAATTTAATTAAAGTCGTCCTTATGCAATAGAAAGTCGCTGTACGTCAATCGAAACAGTTAATTCATAGAAACAGAGAAATAATAGCACAGCAAGAAA